AAATTTAGTGGGCAAAAGATGTGGGAACCCTGCTTGTAGTTCAAGTGACATCAAGAAACATAATCTATATAAATCTAAGTTTTAGTGCATTCAGATACTGAAAATTGTTCATTTCGAACCTATTTTATTGAACGATCTTCACATAAAAGGAAATAAAGGCACATTTCTGCACTGCTGAATAAGAAAGCTCTACGATTTAGACCATATGGGAAAAAACCCTCTGCAAATTCATTGATAGTCACTGAACATAAAGGAACATTGAGGAAGACAGGTATATCAGCCAATTAGAAGTTGCTTGCTGATCTAATAGCGATACTAATGTGTTCGATTACATGCTTCGACCAAGATCACATTTTCAGCTTAGGCTTGCTGTTTTTTCTTTTAAGGTCTGGGCCCATTTCCATAGTTTCTCTGAAGCTGCAAACTGTGAGTTGGCTAATTTATGAGGAATAAGAATCAATTTACTTTGCTACTTTTTATAAACCACATTAAATGCAGATATATTAGCAATCTGATCTCAACTACAGCTGAAAAACATATTGCTATCCCTGAACCTCCATGCTTTAAATATTTAGCAATACAATGGCCTACAAAAGTATTTTGACACTGAAACCATGCTTAAAGGTTTTAAACTTGGTTCAGTTGCTTAGTCTGAAACTGAGTTTGATTCCACTGCCCTCATGCTGTTTTTTGGGCCTTATGTAGGTATTCCTGTGGGTGTTTCCTGATTTTCAGTATCCCAAAGAAAGAAAAAAAAGGATGATTTCAAACTAAAAATATCAGTCCATCTGTGGGTGAAGGAAGCTTGTGTTGTATAAGGGGACAAATTAAGTGAGTCGCAATCAAAAGCTGGAGGCTGTATTTCCAGTGGGAATCTGATGCCTCTCATCAATAGTGAGGAATCCCTGGAGTGCAGGAAAATATCAGCATGTTTCCTGCTGATACACCTGCTGAATTGTGCAAATCTGTCTCCCTGATGCTGTGGTGTACTGTGCTTGATTTGGATGAGGTTGTTTTCCTCAGAGGTTTTAATACAGCTGAACTACAAAGTCAAAGTGTAGGTGTAAACTGTATATAGAATGATGCTATCTAATCAGTTTTTTAATATTAGCACACTTTATTCCAATGCATACTGTGTTGTCCCAAATATCAGATGCATACATCTTGAGAATTTCTTTATCTCTACTTGGCTATCAGTAGGCTATATGTTGCACTTTTGGTTAGTATGTCGTACTAAAGGACCAAAAATAACTTTTGGACTTGTCAAATTTAGAAAATGTACAGTTTAAATTTTCCCATATATTTTTCACAACAGGTTTAAGTTGGTTACAGTGACCAACAGAAAGCTGCTTAGGTTGAAAGTGACTTCTGTGTGAGCTGTGCTTAATACATCGCTGCACTATTGACAATAGACAATGGACATTTGTCCCACAAAATTTTGCCAGAATTAATGATACTGCAACTTAATAGTGAAATGCTTATCTTCCACTTCCATTGTAAAAATACACATTATGATTTTGATTAGGGCTGTCACGATTCCTCGATTAAATTTGATAATTTTTTACTCAATAATAAAAAATCCTCGATTGCATTTTGCCCGTGTTGATTAAGGGGAAAAATAATGGAAGTGGCACATTCCACAGACAAGAATCCATGAAAAACATAATTTATTAGACAGTTTTCTAAGGCTGCACGAAATATTAAAACCATTTTAAAATCATAATAAAAAGCATAGTGGTATTGTGAATTCACAAAGGCTGCGATTCAATTAAATAAATATATG